GATGCCTGCCCCCGAGTACAGCGGCAAAGCAATCTGACATTTCCCGGGATGGAGCAAGCAGAATACTATATCTGATTGGTATTTGATCATATATCGAACATCTTGTAAAGTGCTTAAATTCAAAGCTCCTTGGGACCGTGATGTGTTTTTCTTGCAAATTTTCCAGCCCAGAGGAACCCGGATGCCCCAGGGACCTTGCAGTGAAGTAAGAAGTGACTTTTTGGGATGAAGAGACCCAGAAAGACCTTAGTTAATAAAGATGCTTCCCCTCGCAGCCTGGTTTCATCCCGTCTCCTTCTAAATGGTAATTAGCTAGGTGTTATTGATTCACCAGTTTCTGTAATTTGGTCGGATCAGGAACCTAAGCTTGCGCAACTGTTGGGGAAACTGTATACAAGTCGCGATCAATGTGGACGATCGGTGGCATATTGGAGGTGAGCAGGGATTCCTTAGATTGACACCTGTCACTTTGGCCAGGCAGGATGCATTGATTATCATTTAGACAGGATGAGACGCCCTACCTGCACAGAATGATTGATTTATGGGTGGGAGATGGTGGGATGAAATAGATATGATAGGAACCCTGCTATAAGCTGTGTAATCTCTGACTCTATGTCAGACATGTTACATGTACACATACATGTATTAAACTTTAACTTAAACTTTGTACATGCTGCTTTTCATTCTTGTACAGTACTGTACTTTCTTTTGGTCTGGCGAAATACCAAACTGTACTTTCATCAATATGATCTGGAAACAAGACTAGTGATACTACTTTTCTTCATGAGGTTAACCTTCATTCTGCTAAGGTAACTTAAGGCACCAAATTCATATTGGTTATGAGGACCCATACTGTAGTTGCCAGCCCTAGTGTTGGACTCTTAGCCAACAGGTCTGGCAAGAAAGTTTCTCGTCTATTAACACAACTTTTCCTGTCGACAAGTTTTAGTCACTTTTGAACTTTTTGCTGGCATGGTCTCCATTCCTTCTAAACTCACGGTAAATTAGCAAACTGAAGATGGCATAACGGTTAGATGACAGTGACATGAAGCAATACTCCCAGTTCTCACCTACCCTTGTTTGACAAGCCAAGCAATAACTATGATTAGCTGTAATAGTACAATGGATGTGTTTCATTATAACCACCCAACAGGTTGCCTGCTTGGTAACCTCAAAGTTTTCCTCCAGGTGTATCAGCACGCCTTAGCGTTTGCAACGGATCTGATCCCGGTACGCTTATCGTTAGATTTCCACGTTATCATCCTGCCGATCCTTGCTGCATGCCTGTCCTTCAGGTTGTTCAAACTTGGGGATGTAACACTTAGATATCGTTACAGATCAGTGCTCTGACAGGATCGGGAAAATTTAGTGGCCTATCAGAGATGGGGAGGCAGGATGCTTATCTGGCACAGCACCATTGAGGTGCAGACGTACCCCCTAACAAGATTAGCTGACTCAATGCAGCACCTGTTCTCAGGGACTAGGGATGATCCCGCTCGGGAAACGAACAGGAATTAGGGTGCTCAGGAAGGGAGATTGTGGCGTATCTGAAAAAAGGTTAGAGGGAAGGTCATCGACAATACATACATGTTTTCGTCGGCAGATTGCTTCGAGCAGGAACTTCGGGGTGTCTTACTTGTCCAGGGTTTTTTTTAGAGAGAGCGAGAGAAGTGATAGTGTCCGGGGAGGAGAGGAGAAATCAGGAAATGGATATGAAGCAGGGATGATGAATGATGAGGATGGTGCTTTTATGGATGGGGGATTTGACGTAGCCTGGTACTGAAGTAAAAGCTCTCGCTAGGCTGTACTCAACACAGGATCACCCACGGGGGAGGGATGGGACTTTGCAAGTGAAGAAGGCTCAGTGTAACCAGGAGGCTGGGATGGAGGAAAGCAGTTAGGATGATGGATCATCGTCTGCTGACTGCACCCGCCTGGCAAAACCTGGTGGAAGCCCAAGTACCAGCACAGCATTAGCTTGAGCTTGTAATCTAGTCAATAGGTTCACATTGTACCGCAAGTTTCTTTTAGTTTTAGTCCAGAAATTTGTACAATTTTCTGGCAGGTACGAAGTGATAGGGAATTTTCTTGTTGCTTAACAATCAAAGAAGATGTAGTAAAATATTTGGGTTAGGCAATACTTATCTTCTGGAAGGTGTATCAAGGTACAAACTTTCATTTTTTTAAAATATCCAAGAATCAAAATCTTGCAGCATTATAATTCATATAGTACATCATTTCGTGCCTTCATCCCATTAGTATAAACTCTCGGGTTTTTGATGATCTGCTTTTCTGGAAAGATGGCAGAGTTCTGAAGACATTTAAAGTCTTTCCACATGGTAGTTTTATCAGTTTGCTTTCCTGTCTGTCGGAGACTATAACCTTTTACAAGAAGACATAGGCGACATCTTCAAAAGGTAACACCTGTCTGTTTTGTCATCTCATCCACAACTGTGGTAAATAACAGTAAACAAATAAACGAATGTTAACCTAAAAACTTATTTTCTGGAACTTGGAATAGTATAATAAAATACCTTGAAATTTTTTGTGTTTCAAGACTGTTGAGTTTGTTTTTCAAGGCAGCACTTAACGTATTGGTAATAGTAAATGAAAAGAAAAATGTCTGAGTTTGGTGTGGTTTATTAGCTTCAGCTTCAGCTGCTATAAACATTTGTGGCCAGCTAGTGAATGTAGGTAAATTTGGAGTTTAGTTGAAGTTAGCTTTCCTGTCTATAGCACGTGCCTCACAAGTAGCTATAGCCTATAATGTTACCGTAAATTGGACTATTCAATTTGCACCTGTAAAGTTATCAAGCACTCTTTAATCAGAAACATTGTTACTTATCTTGACAAGTTCCACAGAAAGAAGTATTTGCTAAAATAAAGGTCCCCATGATTTCTGTGTATATATATACCTGACAATATCATGTCTTATGGAGAATATATTACTTAAATATTATTTTGTTGGGACTGTGTTTAAAAACGGATACATAAACCCTCAGCTCAGCCACCCCAACAATACCTCCACACCTGGAAGTAAACATACATTAAAGGGTATGATTATTGCAGTCCATAGAGGTGTGTTATGTTAAGAATCTGAGAAGGGTTAAATTGAGTTCGTTTTTGTAGTGATTTTCAAATTCAGTCCGTTTTTTGAAGTGATTTTCCTCCTTTATTCATATTTATAGAAATTTTTGAAACCATTGAAATGATTTAGTGTAGCCTAATCTTGAAGAATGTGGGAGATATTCCGGCAATGTCTGATAAATGTGATATGTCTAGATTATAGGGTTAGCCCATGGTCACGCATGGTCTGTTTTCTTAAGTGGTAAGTAAACCTGAATTTGATGATTCCAACAGATAAAGCTGCTTCATCGTAAGCAAAGGTGAAATAACTTACATAGTACGAAACAAATCAAGCAACGGGATAAATTCTCTGAAGAGTCAGATGTTTCAGATATTATCTACTATCTCTTAACAGTGACTGAGAAATAATAGTTATCGTTTAGTATGTTCACTGTAATATGCTTGCTTGATGGAGAACAATGAACAACATCAAATCTAGGAGAATTCTGGCATGATTTATTATCTAAAATTGATAAAATTAGCAAAATGATTTACGATTTGCTGTTATCGTGTTGAAAATAGGGCATTAGAAGATGTTGAATTATACTGCTGGTCAGGCTATTCATCAAACCAGACACGGTGATTATTACATGAGCTGTCATGTGGTACAACATGACTGTTGGTACCTGTATGTGGTCACTGGTAGTCATGTTGTTGAAGATAACAATTACAAGTCATATGACTGCAGTGGCAAGCTGGTTTCATCATGGACCATTGGGCAGGGCTAGGTGCAGGATATCAGAAATACCTGCAACACCCCAATCCTACCTGCACAAAACTACACATACAGGTGTTGTTTCCAGCCCTGTACTGGGACATAGTACCTCCCCTACTGCACCAGCTGGCCGGAGATAAAGCACTCCTAACAGGACCTCTGGCAGCCAGTGGAGGGACAGGCGCTTATCATTGTGTCCAGATATTAAATGCCGGGATTTTCCCCCAACAGGTTGTTATAGTGGAGCATTCTCTTATCTCGCTCCGTCTCTAATCCCAGTGGTGGTATTGGCTTTGCGATAAGTGCGAGGCTGCCAAAACGGCAGCTCATAACTCCGGTAAAAGTTACAATTAAGGCATCCCGAGCTGTCAGACGAAATTCCTGAGCGTCCCGTAATTGGAATTAGGGAGATCCCTGAATTTTCATGATGTCGTTCCAGCCCCGTGGACCGGCTTCCTGAGACTGGGTATGAATGCGGAGCACAAATTAGAGTCTTTGACCATGTAATGATGTTACAAAGAGGAGAAAATTAGAAAATTTCACTCCAGTGACAAAGACGCATCATTTGCACCTTAATTAGATAACAAATGCATCTCGCGGTTCATAGCTGGCACGTTATTACGGAGAGATGTTCAGACCTTTTCATCCGACACATTATATTGCTGCACCCCAGATATTAGTGTGATGTATGACAATTTTACAGACTTGACTTAGATAATTTACTGTAGTCGCCTTCTGCACCCTAATGTTGTCCACGGGGACACCCAACGAGAAACGCTGCATTGCATATTTATCTAGCTTGCAGTTGCTTCTGGCTTGTTGGTCAGGGAAGCAAGCAAAGCGCTGATAACATCACATTTGGATCCTTGAAGGATAATATCTTTGTTTTAATCAACTGTGGAGCTGTCAGCTGGAGAGGTAATCAACGTCTAAGTTCGACTGCCAAGCCCAGTTTTGTTCCCACAGTGCTTTGCATTGCGAAGGCTACAATTTAGTTGTTACCTTGTAGTTGTACTACTCTCTCAAAGATGACAAATTTCAATGTCCGCAATTTTGGAATATCTCGATGACTGTAATTTTTTTTGGACAGTCGGATTTGTGTGAGGGGTGATTTATTTAGTGAGAAAAATTGACAAGGCTATCATTGTTGATGTTGCAGCTAGCGGCGGCCTCATGCACTGATGACGATGCAACACGACCCAGAGCAAGCTCAGCATCTTCATAGATGGCAGAAGCCGTACTTCGATGGGAAAGTGGCGGAGGCTTATCCGGCACAGAAAGCGGACGCCTTGCGTGGACAGTGTGGGCAGATCCAGTATGCATGGGCCACAGACAAGTAAGTTTCACTAACTCTTGGCACAGGTTTGTTAGTATCAGATATTACTTACAATGTCTTGAGTTTGTTCTGAAATAATTAAATGTTCAAAAGTACAACTTTTGCAGAAATGTTGCCGTATTTGTGAGTATAATTTTTTCTGAAATAGTTTTTGAAAGCACAATTTTTGCTGAAATATTGCAGTGTTTTAAATTCAAATTTTTGCAGCAATATTTTAGTGTTTGAAATTGTGATTGTTGCAGAAATATTTTGGTGTTTGAAAATGTAGGTTTCACAGAAAATTTCTCTTGGCTAATGGGGAAAATTTTTGCTGAAATATTTTGTTGAAAAGTGCAATTTTGCTGAAATATTTCTGTTTTGTTATAGAATTTTTTTAAAAAGTTTTGTTCAAAAGTACAAGTTGTTTATTAGATATTTTTCTTATATATTACAGTGTTTGAAACTACTTGAAACAGCTTGATATTACAACCGTTGTATTATTTTTGTAGGAATGTAGTCATGAAATCATCTAATACAACATAACCTCCTGTTTATACTAGTTGAGAGCGATATATGTAAACATATTCCCAGAGTTCTAAAGTAAAGGAGTCAAATTTTCATTCTTTGTTTAACACAAAGATACAATGACAGAGTCGATGTCTTACAGGGCACAGTTGTTGTTCATTGTGTAGTCTAATCTCAGCGTATCCGTAGCTCTTTCAAATCCAATTTGGTTCAAGCTGCCTTTTTTTCCCAGACCCGCCACACTGACCAGGACATTGCTATTCTCCCCACGTGCCCACATTGTTGTGTACCCGGCGTTGTAGGGAGATTACGTTAGTGGTGCATGTCATATCCACTTTGATATATGTCCTGGGGAAGCCCGGTGTCTTTGTATCCCGACGCACAGCAAGCGGGCGGTGTATTTATACTCGGAATGGTCACCGGTACTGGCACTTGAAAGGGACAATTGTGGCGGATTATAAACGCTTGGCTGCTTGCATTCTCCAACCAGAGTGGTGTTAGTTTGTGGGCAGCCTCGTGTCCTTGTGAGATGTCCTTCATCACCAATCTCACGCCGCCTAATACTGTCCTGCGCTGAATACACCCTACCCTTTATTCATTTATCGATCGAACCTTAACATATGTTGATCGCCGCCGAATTCAGTCCCAGTCAATGGTTTCCAGATGATATTTGGATCGTGCCTCCTTCCGAAACCTTTATGTTTTATTCACCCACCTCTGCGCAATATTCAAGCCAATTTAAAACCACTTGTAAGGGAATGCACATGTGCTCTGGCTAGTTTGGATGGAATGGCTGATTGCCTTCTCTTCTTATCTATTTATTGCCTGTGCACAGCCTTAACCAATGTCAGAAAATCTCTTCAAGTCAGACCATCGGAGGAAATGTCCAAAGTAATGCCAAAGTAACTTTTTACTTTTTTTAAATGTTGTAAATATTAAAGCTCTCTTAACCTTCAGCCTGCTAAGGTAGGCATTTGGCAGCAAACGTGCATTGGTTATGGGGTTAGCAGCAGGGAGAAGATTAATTACAACCATGAAATCTAGTATTTAAATTTGTTTATGATATATAAAAAAATAGAATCTTTGGGACATTTGAATGAAGGTATTTTGTCCTTTCTTCTGGCATAGGTTAACGTGATCCCTTTGCCCACAGGACAGATATGATTGGGTTAACTCTTGTGAAAACTTCGCAGAGTCCGCCAAGTAAGTTGGACTTAATTGGTTATTAGTATTGGAGCCAGGATTGTGCCAAAATCGGGGGAACTGAAAGCCTGGCTCAGACACGTGCTTTGCAGCGCTTTCAGCGTCCGTCCTCGGTGGAACACTGCTGATAACGCGGGGCCCGGGTGGCGATCCAATCACACGGCCCAAAATAAGCACGAGACTCCCGCTCCCTTTTGTGAAGAATTTTTGGGCGCTGACTCACACTTAGAAGTTGACTTTGCCCCAATTATGGGATAGAAGACAAGAAAGGTGCTCTTAAACCCAGGGAAGGGATGCATTCTTACAGGGATGAGTCTGTTACCATGGCTGAATATGTCAACTGCACCTTTGCAAAGTACCTCTAAGCCATGTTTGATTCCTCGGCACAAAGAACAGGACCAGACCAGACATAGAAGCTTTCATATCATGTACATGTAGTTATTATACAATCTCAATACATCAAAATATGAATGGAAACGTTTACTACGGTCTTGCCAGATAAATTTTCCTTTTAGTGTGTTTTTTTTTAATTCTTTATTTAATTTTCTACAGCAATAAATAATAAGACAAGGGAGAACATAGAAAAACTAATTGATTTACAAAACTTTGTCTATACAGTATGTAGCTATTGCAGTTACAGTATTTGAAATGTAGTAAGCCCCACTTCATAGTTTGTTAATGAGAAAAATACTGACCAAAAACTAAAACAGCTTGTGTATGCATACTTGACTAGTTGTAGACTTCCAGGATGACAAAGAACAGCACTCTATAAATGTTTGAAATGTAACTGTTATACTTTACGGATAGTATATTTATTTTGTCTACACTGTAAACAGACAGTAGCAGCCTCTTATCAACCTTCCAGCTTACCATTACCATAACACCACTTTGGAGAAGGCCCTTTTGATAGAGATCTTCATAGGCCTGTAAACTATGGAGAAAGCTTTGGTGGATGATTTGTTATCTTGAAGAGTTCACTAACGTATCCAGGAAGTTTATATCCTGCTTCGCCAGCTATCCGTCTTACAATAGTCCAGTTAATTCCACCCTAGACAACTAAATCCGCTTGAATGGGATATTTCTCCCTCCAGAAAACCCTAAGTACTGTTCAATAAACTTCCAATTTCTTCCTGATTAATTATATACAATGGCAATAGAGTGGCAGGACGGCATGTTGCACTTTCATTTGTTGCCTCGTTATGTGGCAATTTGACAGGCCCACATTTCATCGGGAGGATTGCAGTTCTGGGAAACAATCAAGAAGATGTGGGCAAAATGTGTGTCGTGTGGATGTCTTGGCCTTGAATGATAATGTTGGATTCATACGAGTTCCACAACCATCAATTATTCATGTACATGAAGGCCTAACCCAGTTGTAAACTTTGGCCTTATCTTTGCTTCTTGTATAAAAACAAGAAGTAAATCAGATTTCTTTCGATTTTGCCGGGATTTATATTTTTAATGGTGCCGGAGTTTTGGTAACATGTTTTTCAGACTATTATTTGAAGTATGACTTTCTTATGAAAGTTGTAGATGGAATAATTCTATCAACTGACAATGTGATGGCACTTGATTTAAGTCTTCATATTCAAGTACTAAAGGCATTGGCACAAAACATCTGCATTTATCTTTGATAATCAGTAAAAGATAAATACTGTTTTAAAAAACAGGAGAATCTGAATTTTAAAAAGTAGTCGATGACACTGTTACTTAATTATGATATCATATTATATATTATATATATATAATTTATTTCAATAAACATACCATTTTTACAAATTGGCTTGTCATGTTTGGCTACACTTATTTACTTCCTTGGTTGTCAGACATTTAAGATACATACATGTAGCAAGGGGATATCATGATAGTAGGGGGCAAGGAGGAAAACTTAAATATGACTGTATTTACTCCATAAAATCCACACATAAACAGAGTCCTCACTCTGTTCAAGTATATTTTTAAAAGTTTCAAGAACCATCAAATCTTATTTGTTTGGCCATAGGAAAAAATAGTCAACATCATCCACCAAAGTTCTAAGAAATGGCAAAAGAAAATCCCTTTGATCTAGTTAATCCACCCTTGAGCTTGGCGGAATTTGGGGCTTCCCTCTTATGAGATACATTGCCTGTTGAAGTCTTAAAGTAAAAAGAAGAAATTACGTTTCTGTCTCCTTCCTCCATTAGTTTGTGTAAGTTTTGTCTGTTGCAAAAGCCCTCAGAGAATGCAGTAGAAAGCACTGGTCCCTGTACTATATATTTGGCACGTGTAATTTTAAGTACGGTTGCTTGTGCTCTTCAATGGCTTAGTGAAGGAAGAAGCAAAGAAATTGAACCACCATTTGTACGATTTCCTAGATACCAGTTTGTCCTTGGAAAAGGCTCCTGTTTCCGTCTGCATTTTGCTGATATCCCTTAACTTTTAAGGGAGGGGTGAACCAGGATTATAACCCAAGGACTTCCTTTGTAATTGTTAGAGGGTGGCATCGGGAACAAAGAATGAAAAGGAAACTCTGGCTAAGGCATTAGTTTTAATCCTAGCCTACTTTGTATAGATGTATTTGAAAAATTGTAAAGACCTTGCCAAAGGTGATGTTTCAAATTACTACCATTGTGCTATAATTTCATTCGTTGAGAATTAACTGGCTCTAGGATTTTCAAACACTTAGACTGGATTGTGTCAAAACATAAAAAGAAGAATGGGCGTAAAAAAGCATGTAAACTAAAAGTTTGAAAACTCTAAACAGTTAAAGTTGTAATATTATATAAATGTTCTCTCTAGAAACTTCTTCAATTCTCATATTTCATAAACACCAGGACCTAAGTATCATATATAGACAGCTACCGACATTATGCAGATACAAAAAATACATTTATTTATGTTATTCCTTTGCATAGAGACAGATATCTTTTGATGTGGATATCAGACATTTTTTAGGGATTACAAAACCTTAAGGAGAATCTAAAGGAGGATGCATGAGAATTCCAGGGCTTACACAGGCTCCAGCCAGTAGATAGCGGAATCCTGTTTTGTCACTTTCGCCAAGATAACATGACTTTTGGGAAAAGTTATCGGCAGACTCATAAAGACATGATGCCTGAGAGAAAGCTTTTTCCATGCAATGCCCCACAGCCACGTGATAAGCAAGTATACACGTATGTTGTTGTATCTTTTAGATGTATTATAAATCTTGACATTTTTGTGATGGTTTTATGTTCGCAAATACTGTATACAGACGGAACAAAAATCTCCTTTTCTTCCCTACCACAAAATCAAGTCCCAGTGAAAATAAATGAATTTAAAGTATTCATCTTCAAGGTAGGAAAGTATTAGGACTAACGAAGTAGTTCTGTCAGAGTTTAGATGTAAAAGATGATAATATGAACACCGTGGCTGACAAAATATTCCTGTGACTAGTTTGTGTGTTTACCACACTGAAAGGTAAAATGATTGAACAAACATTTTGGAGGGGTATTAGTAGTAATATGAGGTATGTTGGAATTAAATTGTGAAGGAGGTAGGTAGTTAATGGCCATTTCAATTTTGTACACACAGCACACGGACAGCTACCTTGATTGGTTGTGAGAACTTTGATGTACATTTGTACATTGAGTATCTACATTTTGTAAGGGAGAGTTGTAAAATCTTGTGTCCTCGATGTTGTTGCAGTATTACGGAGCTGACGGCGTCCATGCTTCTGAAGCAGTATGCAGAGAAGTATGTCAACGTGGTAGACAGTACAGATGGCAACACAGGTAAGTCTTCCATTCACATGTACTGCCAGGCCACACCAATTTAATTTCTTCACCAAAATATGAGCTTTTTGGGTTCATTCAGATAAATATACCGGAACATATTTTTTGTTCAAATCAGAAAAAAAGGAAGTGGGCAAATATGAGAAGCAATAAATTAAATTGGTGTGGAGACTTTTAACTCTATCATCAAATTATAACCCACAGAAAATAAAGCTTTCCCCACTGTCCTTGCATGACTCTTCCTTCTAAATTTCCTCTCCCATCATTCCTTTTTTCCTGTTACCACATGTTTTACATTCACCCTGCCCCAGTCCCAAACCATCAAAGCGGAAAGTCCAGATGCCGATCACTTTAAAGTGGACTTGAACTTCTCCTGTGACTCCAACATTAAGACGTCTCGTTCTGTTTGTTGTCTGATGGATATAAGATATGCCACAGCTTCCCTGAAGGCCCAATTATCAGTGTTATCGTTATACATTTTATCCCCCTTACCGTGGAGGTATCACTGGAGAGTTGGGAACACTGCTGGAAACTGTAGCCCGGGTTTGGACAGCTCCTGTTAATCGAACTGCTCTCAGTGTTCACTGAAAGACACAACACAAGCTGGCTGGCACAAGTTTTATCTGGGGAAACAGGCAATGGTCAGTCAGGAAATAAGTCAATATGGTTAAGAAAAAAAATAACCTGGTGTCCAACCTACATTCTAGCTCTGTTTCACTTGTTTTATTACTTCTCTTACTCCTAGTCTTACCTGGTATCCAAGTGTTTGTCCCTGCATTATTTCCAGTATAGCATATTTTTTAAAAGCAGTGTAAAGGGGATCAAACTAGTGAATGCCAGTTTGAACCCGGTTACCATGCCATTGCGAGAACCATACAACTCAAATTCAATCTTGCTTATATTGTAGGTGAAAATTTGAATGCCAATTGTTTCACCATTAACAGGTGCCTGACTGTTTGGCAGAAAATGATCTGTGGAGCTAATGGGAGCTACAAAACGATGTATACCAGGCTAGAAAAAACACTTACTTTGCAAAATCACTTCAGAAGGCAAAAGATGTCCTAACACTCCCGAGACAGGATTTTGCAGTCGTAGGCTGTGTACAGGACATGAGGAATTACCTCTTGTCAACTGATAAGAAGTGATTTAAGGAATCTGTGTTGCAAATGGAAAAAAGCTGAGGCCTAAGATGGGCCTAACCTCACGTTCAAACCAGCTCGTGGAAATCCTGGTAAGCCTGGTAATAGCAGGTACTAGAGAGGCAGCAGAAGGTTCTATCCATCATGGGGAGATTGTGACGTTCTGCTGGTCTAGCTGATGCTGTTTTATTTTATTTTTTAACGTGGTTGCTCGATGCACACTTGGACTAAAGACCACTTCAACTACAAGTCTAGGAAGGTGACAGGTACAGGTTTTCAGCGTCAGGTTAGGAACAGCATTTCTTTTTCTCCTTGTGAGCCAGGTGGCAGCTCCAGGTAGAAAAGGTTCCTGTGCAGAGTTTTGCCCAATCCTAGATTTTTTTTATTGAGGGTTTGCTCAATGCAAGCCCAAAAGACCTCTTCTGGGTACTGAACTAAGTTGGTGGGAGGTAAGTGAAAGTTTGGCTGCAAAAGGTCTGAGAGACTGGTATTTTGACAGTGTGACGATGTGGGCTAGAAGAGAATCTAGTGGTACATTAAAAAGCTCTCAATGGTGGAACAAGAAGTGAGAGTCAATGGTTTACTTCTAAACTGCTTTACTGCCATTGTTGTATATAGCGTGGGTTAATAACAAAAGACTGTTACCAAACCATGTGCACATCAGTAAACAATATGGGAACATGATACCTTTCCATCCAGCTGCTCTAGCAGAGAAACCATCCTGAAGCACCTGGCTAATTCTGCAATGTGTCGCTGATTTGTTTCCGCTTTGTGAGTTTCTTGTTTTGGAGAAAGTACTCCAGGTGACACACTGGAACCAACTGCCAAAAAAAGTTTTTTATGGGAAGATCATTTGATACAGGTTATAGAAATGGACATCCTTAAAAGTTTGAGATAGTAGTATGTTATCTCTGAATGTTCAAGAATTAGATACAGGCTATTTTAGTTGATTTTTTTTGTTCGTAGGTTATAGACCCAACCCCTAACCCAAATATATCAGCTACTGCATTGCTATCAGCATCACATTACTTGTGATTTTTTTTCCTTCTGATTGATGAAGGATTCAAACTGAATCAAAGCAAATGCAAAGTTGTTTTGTATCAGTTGCCTTAATATTTGTGATTTTTTTCCTTCTTATTGGTGCAAAAGATTTTATGCAAAGGTTACACTTCTCTTAGGACTCATTCTCACAAACTCAGTCACTGATGAAAGATATTAGATGCTGTCTAAAGCATCTGACTCTGCAAGGAATTTATCCAGGTGCTTAACTTATTTTGTATTACGATTTGACGCAAACTCCAAGACGCCTTCCTAAGATATTTTGGAACTGTTGCCAAGCTGCAGGGAGCTTCCCTGGTCATGCCTCACGTTCGCCCACCATGCGGATTATTCGCCCAATGCTGGGTCTGGATTTGAACCAGTGACTCCAGAGGCAGGCGGCAACCTGTCTGTGTTTTCCAACCCCCGATCATTTGATCCGATCAACAACTCTCATGGTCCAGCAAACCCCCTTACCCACAAGCCTCCCTGAATGGGATTACACCTCAACACACTCCTTATGGACCGCCTGCTGTTTAAGAAACTGAGCCCTGCAGATACTTTAAGATGTTAGCGGAAAAAGCTTAAAGGAATCTGTGTGTGTAAGGCTTAAGTTGATTGTTTTGGTGTCTGAATGTACTGTAATTTTTCAACCTACAAGGCTTTAAAACTTGACAAGACAAAGTGGGGATGCCAGAAGAAACAAGTTGCTGGACTTTCACACAGATACTTCAAGATGCTCATTGTTAGATGTTAGTTTAAAAAGCTTTAACTTAGTTTAAGGAACAAGGTATGTAAGGTTAGATACAAGTTGATTGATTTGATCATTTGGTACTAGTATTTGAATGTAGTAAACTTGTTCAACCTTCAAGTTCAAAGATAAACTTAACAGGACCAAAATATTGTTTTGGAGATGCAAAGACGAAACATGTTACTGGACTGTTTGACTAATCCAGAAGGGTATTACTGTAAAATGTATCAATGTAGTTTTCATAATCCTTGCGTTAAGGAAATTATCAGGTTGCTGAACTTATATGTTATTTGAATGGCACTGTCAGTTTTTGCTTGTTTTTTTTACAAACAACAAATGTCTCTTACTCTTAGAAAAAACTAACATTTTATTTTATCAAAGTTAGTCAGGGAAGTTGTCAAACTGTATTGTCTCTGCCTCGTCTAGCCTCCTACTTTGCAAATCATTCCCAACAAATCATCATTTAGTGAGTGAATGAGGTCCTTTAGTACTAATCTGTATTAGCTGCTCTGCATTTTCCAGTGAAAGAAAATGAATGGTTCAATGAGTGGAATAACTGCTTACATGGCTCAATTGTTGTATGATTTATTCAGATCATTTGTTTTACAAATGCACATAACAGCTTACCTAAAGCTACCGTGCAATAAGACTCACTAAGTTGAAATTACTGCCAGATTATGTGCAATGAATAGTGGAAACAGGATATTAATCCAATCATCCAGAACAAGATTTCTTGTCATAAAAGCCTACAGTTGCATGCTAACTTAACTGAATGTTTTTAGCTGCTCTCTCTTCATATACTTGTTAATACCTCAGTTTCTGAAGAGCAGGTATGAATGAGTGAATGAATGAATGGGTGAATGAATGAATGATTGGTTGGTTTATTTGCATAAAACCTAACAGCCTTAGCTGAAATACTTTCATTGATAATTGTGCATATTTAAATTATGTGACTCAGTCTTGTAATTGTGTGACATCAGAAGAAAAGTATAACTGGATAACATCAGTGTGACATTATTATCTTAAAATCTGTTTGTAATTAAGGTAAGTAGGACAGACATCAAACCATTGCTGCTTATTTGAACAGTAAGGTATGTTACAGTTTAAACACGCTATTGTTGAACAGTCTTAGCATTGATGATACTGAACTGTTTTGGTAATGGGCAAAGCAAACATGTACTAGTCCCATTCTGGGGGGCAAAGTCATGATTTGGCAGCCGTCCAGGGAGTTTTCTTTCCTCCTCAGAAGGTTAATCAACTATCAGCAACTTGTAAGTGGTTGTAATCTCCTGTCCTGGCACAGGAAAGGGGTTTGTGTAGGGAACTATTACAACCCAAGGTGGTCCGTGTGGTCCAAACCCTTCCCCTCCAGCCAATCAGAGAGTGGCTTCTGACCCACGGTGACGTTACCCGTTGGTCACAATGCCGGCTTGTCTCCAGGCGCTGAACATCAGTTCCACTCACGGGGACGTCGTCGGAGAATGAGATGTCGCGTAACGAGGTTTCAGAAATGAGAACAGGACGCAGAATTAGATTTGCCTTGTCCTGCCGTAGCCCCCTCGTTTCTCAGTGTCCAGACTGTCCCAACTGGCCTGACCATCGCTTTGTGTTCCCCAGTCAAGTGCAGGAAAGGCAGACCCATTACAGTTTCACAACTCTCCCGGGGAAGACCCTACAATGGGTTCAAGGCCAGGTAAAACTGGATTTCAGTTTGTTCAGCGAGGACTTTTCTTTGACCATGGAAGTCCCAAGACACTGATGAGTTGTCCACAATGTAACTTGTGTGTTAAAACTAGAAGAAAGAGCACAGACAATTAATAACAATCCCCCCATCTTCCTAAGATCATTGCTATTTCTTAGAAATACCCGGAACTTCATTAGGGAATATTTCTACAGTAAAGATCTTAGGTTAAGGCCAAACTGTTTCTTTGTTTCACAGCCTTAAGTTAAGTTAAAAGGAGAAGTAGTAGGTGCATGAATGTGACTGCTTGAACACGTCTTCAAAAAGTTGGATAACTGGTAGGAAATATTAATAGGTGTGTGGCCTTAGGCTCATCCACAGTGTAGTCAATTTACTTGCGAAAATGTGGGCAAAGGAACCCTTCATTAAAGACCTATATCTCCTTTACATAACCTGTCACACATTGGAATGACACAGTAACTAGTGGCAGATCAAACCAATTACTTACATTAGAAAGACATGTTGCAAATATCACAAGTTTCTGGGCTACATCCAAGCTGAAGGTCATTGATGGATTGGAAGTTGGATGAATTCTTTTTTTTGAGATTCACAAGTATGACAAAGTCTGTATGGAAACAGACAAGAAATTAGTCGTTTGTTTGTAATATGTTCAAAATGTAGTTTTTTTTACGCATCATTTTTACAAAATTTCTCTTGTTGTATCATATAAGAGTCAAGACTTCCCAAGATCTAGGAAGATTCTTTCTGCTGGAATTTACCTTTTTGGACTCCTGCAGGAAGAAAATTTGAAAATGAATAATCATGATATGTATTATTATCATTCCTTACTGTACATTGTACTTGGCAATTCATATGAAAACACTTTTTTCACTTAAATAATTTGATATTGAAGATATTAGCACTTGTCAAGATAGGAATGCCAAACTTAGACTCAGGAGAGTATTATATGTGTACCCCTTACCCAAGTGGTAAGTAACCATAAAAGGATTAGAAGTCCTGTCCTCTGATGCAGAGAGAAGGGGTCCTCTAACATACATGGTAGTGATTGAACTGGACATCCTCCTACCAACCAATTTCCATCCCGTCCACTCTGTTGCGCCTAATCTGGAGATAATTCAATAAGTCCTGTAGCTCCTGTAGGTGTTATACCCTTGTGTAGGGTACAGAGATGTGATCAAGATTGTCTGGGGTGACCACAGGGCAATCGTCGGTCCTTGGTCTTCTCTTCTCAAAAGAGCAGATTGATAAAGGAAGCGCTCAATTCCACTGGGAAGTGTTGGTTGTGATATAGCAAGTCGTGGATCTTTGTTAGGCTGTGATCTGGGTGCAGTTATGATGATATAATTCTTTAGCACAGTCTGGACATTGATATGATTAATATAAGACAAGGGAATAGACGAGCACTATCCAATACAGATTATGATAGTGATAAGGCTATTGCAAGTTTTTTGCCCAAAGACCAGTTGCAAAAAACTATATAACTCAAGACTTTTAGTTTTACATTGTTTATCTTCCACTTTTTCAAACCCAACAAGTAAGAATTTAGAGTCAGCATTAAGACTAGCGTAGCCACATGATACATTGTTCTTCGTATATAGCCTTTGTGCAAAAATTTGCCACTTTACCCAGCGCGAGAAGAATCCCATCCCGACCGATCCCGAACCATCGAAGATAAATCTGGAGGTGTATCAAGTATCCAGGTGATACTTCCATCCTAATAAGACCTGCCTCCCACTAACTGCCTAATGTTACTTCCAATATTCCGCGCCATAAATTGGGAGGCAGCGTCAGAGACAAGTGGTTTCAGCACGCTCGAGGAAAGATCCAGTCAGCACAACCATAGTCGAGCTGCCTGTTGGTTTTTCCTCGCCACTTTATCAACCTTTGATTTATAAGTAATGAGAGTACTAATTAGTTTAACGAGAGAGCGAAGCGACCAAGAATAGATGAAGGCAGGAGGATGGTGGGCTGGGAATAGAGGGGAAATTAGAAGTTGGGCCTGCTGTTTATTAGTTTGGTGCGGTGGAAAGGCATTTGAGAGAGAACTGTTGCTTCTGTTGAATTTTTAAATACCCCGGGAGTCGCGATTGCTGTAACATATGCCTAGCTGGAGGAAATCGGTGGCTTCTTGTGATTCATACCCCCGGCCCATCTTTCAGATCACCTTGAGATATAGTTAATTTAGTTTTCCAATGTATTTCAGTCTGGGCAGGCACCCCTGAGTATTTGCCTGAATGCAATTTGATTGCCGATCTTTAATGTTCGAGATAGTTCCCGGCTTTATTGATTAAATTGCGCCAAAATTATTTTAATGGCGTTTTAAAGTTGTGGCGATTTGCGAAATTATCTGTAACTACGGACGTAATTCCTGGTGAAGATGAGTGCGGGCAGATAAAAGGTCTGACGCCTGGCGGGGAAAACGAGCAGGAAAACGAGCAGACAGTGGCAAAAACGTTGCCGTGCGGTGTGATGGGGTGAGGGATCCCCAATTCCTGGGGAGGTGACAGTCTATTTTAGCCGTCCCCACATGGGAGGCTATTGGCTTCTCCTCTGATTGTTCATTTACCCAGAGTTGTGAGGAATCATTAACACTGATTTTTCATAGCACCAGAGGAACTATAATCATCCATATGGACCCCCAGGCATTCTCCCGATCGAAATCGAAATGAGCATTGCGGGTCCTCCAACGCCTGGCTGTATTCTCGGGATTACATCTCCCAAGAACACATCAGATGTAATTAGCAAATACAAAGGAAACGGCCCGTTTCTTCCCCGCGATGCGCAAGTGGAAGGCAGCGTCTGATATACTGAAAGGTGTGGAGGAGATGGTGGCGATAAGCCTGTGGTGATCAAAGCTCGGCGTAGCGAGTTTTGGGCTCGTGTGGTGTGAATTCAATAGTCCGCGCATGCCAGAGGGGACATTTGGGAAATCATCATACCCGGGTGTGGAAAGAGCAATGTAATTGTGATGAGGTAGCACCCTCCTCCAACATTTGCTATCGCGCAGGTGACACATTTACTGAGGCATGTATATCATAACTACCACGGCTCGTAGAGCAACCCCGATAAGAAAAGGCTCTCTGTATGATTTGGAGCGTGCGAGTACACACCACCACCATTGATCGCTTTTCCTATAAATTTCAACAGTTATTAATTGGCACTTTGCGGTATTGAAATATTTCATCATGTATATGTAGCGTTTCTTTCCACCACCTTTTCCATCAAAGATTGGGTGGCAGTTGTGAGTAGGTATCAGCTATTGATTACGTCCTAGTGGTTAACATCCTTGTTGCGCCATATATTTTCATTGGTCTCTGAGGACGGCTTGCCCATGGGGTATTGGGCAAAATTGTTCACGGTTATAAGAGGAGAATGCGGCCCGTAATTCAGGCCGGATGGAATATTGGGGGGATGTTCGGGATTTTAATTTTACAGGTCTAATAGACACGCAGGAAAATGGGAGCCTGTTCTGGTACTAGAAAGTTAAAGCTAACTGTTCGTGTCCACATGTGGTGGGAATTGGTTGGAACTCCGTGTTGTTGATAGGAAAACAGGGCTGGAAATACCAGGTGCATATTCAATTTTGTTCACCCAAAGTTGTGCACCTAATTTTTGACTCTGGGTGCTTCAGAGCATCTAGATACATTTGTATATGTGTAGGAAATACATGAATGTATAGGAACTGCTGTACACTACTATAAAGCAAATTCTTGACATTGAAGTGGCCAAAAAATAGTAAAACCTTTATTGCGTCACTTGCTTATGATTGAAATATAGTTACAAAATTTCAGTTCATCACAATTTGCAAACTTTGAACTGTCATCTTTTCCTGACATACTTGACCTTGTGCTATACACATTTTTTCGTGCGCCAAAAGTTTTAGGTTAGGTGCACTTATTCCCAAAAGTTGATTTCGAGCCATAGTGTAGAACTATAGCTGCATCACCAGATTGAATATTGCAGGAGGGTTTAGCAACTGCCAATACTACTATGGCTGCAGTGGTTCAGAGCAGACTGGGTGGGGGGTTTAATCGAATTACCTCACTTTGCTGAAATGGTGTTAGTCGTGAGGGTGTCCCAAAAATGTCGACGGATGCGGAAAATTAGATTTCCGATCTTGATGTCCTTCTGTAGTTCTCGGTAAGTAAGTGCCAAAACACTTCATGCTCAGGCACACGTCGCCAGGAGTATGGCTGTAAATATCAGCCTTCCACACGCGTATGAGAACTGAAACTGAGGGTCAACCATCCCTATTCAAGTGTTGTACTGTATTAAAAATTGCAGAACAGCCAAACCTGTAAAACAGCCAACCTCTAGATCTACATGTACATAAGGCCCACCTGGTCAATGTGACCATTTTTGGTGGCCCACTGACACAAGCATTAAGAATCCTGTCTGTAATGACCACCTGTCCACATGGACCAGATTTTCGTCCGTCGCATAAGCGGTCTTCTTGGGCAGTTTGACTGTACATGTGTCTTTCTCTGCTAAAATTGTTCACATTTCTGACCAGTTAGATTTTGAGTTGGCTGCATGTTGTATGTTGGTTTTACTTCCCACATTGCAGCATGTGCCAGACCTGCCCCCCTCCCCCCCATCTCCCAACCTCCAGAGACCCCGGCTCATACAGCCAGCATATGTGCCATGATTGTCCTGTTTCTGCCACCATTTTCTAATGCTCTTTATGTCCTACAGGTCTTAACAATTACGCTGATGGCGCCCTGTCCTTGGCTTCGGGCCACCGGAACGGTACGTATCCATATGGCGCACACGGACTGGGGTGTATTTAATGTATGACACGTCCAAACCACCTCTAGCCTGGTACTGGCACCTGAAAACACGGACAGGTGCCAACTGATGGGCTGGAAACAGCTGATTTCTAGGGAGACAATATAGAACCATTAACCTCTAGCACACTGTAGCCATTTGGGTACCAATTCTCTGCTGGTTACAGTGTTAGGCAGCAGGGAGAAAGTTAAACTCAAATTGGCAAGCGTACATGTATGTATATCTATTGCATGTCAGGCTCGTAATTTCGACGTAGTAGTATTGATACACATAAGTCAATCAATGTTGCTCAGTCAGAGATAGGAAATAAAACATAATTTGTGTCTGTCCAAAACTCCAGGGCAATTCTGAAAATGATTTATCAAATTATCAAATTGATGCAAATATTTTCCTGGCTGTATATAAACAACATGTAGGAAGAAGAATTGAATGGGAAGAAAATGTACTACATCGTAATGTGTGATACCTTGACATGTGTTTGAAATGCCAAGACCATAACTTCTTGGCAGCAACTGTTGAAGACTAAATTAGTTGCAGACCCTTTTCAAGGACATTCACTTCTAACTGTTGTGTAAGACTGATTTGTCTCACAAGTCTAACTTTGCCTTTCCTTAGGTAACAGAAATACTAATTTTTTTTGTTTAACTGGAACATCCTAGTTTATCAACTTTCAAAAAAAGCATTTTACAACACATGTCATTTAGGGCTGCGGGTAACCCATTTCAATTCAGGGGACACAAAATACTTTCATACAATCTTCCCCCTCCCATTTAGCTGTATTTAGTGTAAAAACTAAGTGTGTTAGTCCTTGGCTCTTTGTTGATATTTTGCATGTGTGATAGACTATTATCACCTGGTATTCTTCCTTGTGATTGACACTTTGACTTTGACAGACACTTAACAATACAATACAATATGGTACAATACAATACAATTCAATACAATACAAAACAGTACAATACAATACAATTAACTCATTACATAGGAAGCCATACAGTGTATTGCTATTGAAAGGGCACTCCTAAGGTTCAAGTATACATGGTACTAAAAAAGAAGAATATGTGTTGTTTTCCTATGAGTAGTTTCATTAGGTTGGGACATAAAAATTCTTTAGACCAAATACACAACCAGAGGACAACTATTTACTATGGTAGATGGAGGTTAGATATCCACGTAGAACATTGGGTAATACAAAATAAATCAAGTTACTCTATCAATTCCCCAGTTTCAGATGTTTCGTATAGCATCCAGTTCTATGAGTGACTGAGAATGTGTCACTGATAAAAGACAGCAGATGCTATCTGAAACATCTGACTCTTCAGAGAACTTGATTTATTTTGCATTACATAATCACCTACTTTATTTGTTGTTTTGTTCCTAAATGTGTTTGTTATTTTGTACAGAGAGTGGAGAGTGGCAGACGTCACTCAGCATGGACAACATGCAGAACATGCAGGGGGTCCAGGACCTCATGTCAGCGTCAAAGGTAAAGGTTTATTTGTGTGTTCGTTTTGTTAATCAAGGTAGAGCATGACATAATACAAAATAAATCAAGCAATGCAATATAATAAGTAAATAAATAAATCTAGATAAATTCTAAGACATTTCAGATATCATTTACCGGTACTATCTTTTATCAGTGACTGAGGAGGAGTCTGACTGAACCTTTTAGTACATACAGGTTACAGTTATCTTCAGACTTGTTCTCAGCCTTTGAAAATTTAACATGGCATATTTCAACTTATATTTTACATACCTGTCCCATAGGCAGATAGATGGACATGTGGTGTAACAGTAGATTCCTGCAGATGGCTGCAGAGTGCACATGTCGTCCTGCAGGTACACATGTTGTCCTGCAGGTGGCACTCTGCTGGCAGATGGACATATTACTGAACTGATGGATGTGACCTCTTTTTGGAGTATATGTATTTTGATCTAAATCCATTGTATAATTTATACTCTGTATTGTGTAACCATGGTTTTCATTATGAAATCCCATCACAAAGCAGTTCCTTTAACTAACATAAAAGAGCAGGCAGGCAGTATCTAAATGAACTGAACTGAGCACATATAAGATAGAGCATATCTTGTATGCACATGGTACTTCAGATTATCGTTACCCAATGAATATTATGTAAATCAATTCTATGATATTTATGATATGGAACAAGTACCAGCCATTTAGAATCCATATTTAGGGTGTGGTCAGGCATCACACTTTTTCCTTACTTAAATGGTTACACATCATCTTGTACATAAAACATCTGGATAAAAATTTCACCCGTTTTTCCTCATGAATGAAAGATGGTCATTGTTGGATGCAGTGTTGAAATCTCTTTTTGTGGTACAGGGTTTTGTTTGCCATATTGATAAATGATGCTCTAGCTGTAAAGCTGTTTTTCACAGCAGCACCAGGCAAAATTGTATTTGTTACAGGCCAGCAAAGCAGTTTGAACAACGTCATCAGAAAATCCCTTTTCTGGCACTATGGTAGCTTCTGTTTCATAAAAAGAAAAATGTTCGAACGATTGACTTGGCCTGGAGTTTCCATTGTTTTTATTTTACATTTTCCAGGTACATGGTGCACGTGTTTAAAAAATGCAGATGCCATGGTACATAAATATAAACTGATTTCACATTCAGGTTGACCAAATTGTTAATAAATTGTCCATAAACGCTGGCCATGGCATGACCTTGGTGCAATGTTGCATGTAGGGTGTCAAGAACTGACCATATGTTTGATGTAGAGTACATGTACATGTACATGTGGCCGCAGGAGTCTCAGTTGCCTTTTGTTTGTGAAACCTTTAAACCAAATTTCTACTTTTTTTCTGTAATCTTGAGATCTTTTCTTCTTTTATTTGCTTCATTCAGATAAACAAAACATACAGATTGACTTCCAAAAAACACAATATATATATATATATATATGTGTGCAGGTAAATATAAATTCATAACATGACATACAAAAGTACGCGCTGACAGAAATTCAGTAGGATTGTAGAAAACATTATACCATTCTGTGTGGGCGTGGAGTAGTGTAGTTTATATAAGAATAACAGTCATATCTTAATGACATGTCAGAATGGACACTGACTGTTTCAATCTGCTTTTCTA